TATATAGGGATAATGGAAAATACATAGAAACTATTATTTAGAGTTTAGGGTTGAAGGTGTGGGGTTGCTATTAAGGAGCTTAACTAACTAAATTACTATATTATCCGCTATAATGGAGAATCACATGGAAAAGAACATGGAACATGACATGGACACTGGGGCAATATAGGGGTTTAAGGAACTTAAATTCACTTACCATAATGGGTATATAAATACGATTTCCCCAATGCGGTAACATGAAGTTCCTTAACAGCAACCAAGTTGGATGTTGGGGCTTATGGGGTTGAGGCGGTCAGGGATCAGAGCGTCCTGGTTGTCCCTGGGTGCTCCTGTTTGTGCCCAATTTACAGGGACATCCTGATGCGCACATGCTTATCTGTGCTTCAGACATCCCTAACTAAGGGCGAACAATCCCATCATGTTCCCTACATTGCCTTCACAAACATTCTATAAATCCGTACACGATCCTCACAGTGCCCACAATCTGGGGTTGCTCAAAACAGGGGTATCCTGGAGACATCAGGGATATGTGGGGCTTGTGATTCAAGAGCTTGTAGGACCCCCCTTTAATTTTAGTGTAAACATGTATTGAGGAACTCCAAGATTTCTCTGCAGCCTGGCCGCTCAAACTCTTCTGTGCGGGGATTTCGACCAAGAAGAAATCCGAAGAGCTCCTCTAACAGATGCGAAGCTTGCCATGGATTTCTAGACATGTGGAGAACGGCGCTCAGCGGTGGACTTTTCCTGATTTCCCTGAAGCCTACATGAAGAACAGGGGATATCATCTTCCGCTCAAAGCACGCGAAAGTACATTGCGCTGCCACTTTCAGCGAATGATTGGGTACACTGCTACCGCCATGCCTAGCTACCTCTTCTGAAGCATCTAAAGCAGATGAGCGTCGTGAAATTCATCCCGCCCGATGTAGCCGTTGCCATCCAGATCAAAAAGCGCGAAAACCAGATTCGCAGTGTGCTGGGCCATTCTCGGCCTTCATCCACAGGAAAACAGCATTCAGACAGTGTCTGAGGAAATGGACTACAGAGCAAACTTACGCCGACTTACGGGTTTCCAATGCTGTTTCTGATACTCCCATGCGGAGCAGTACGAGGACCCCCATACGCAAGCCAACCCAAGGTTTTGCGTTCCTGTATAGTTCTCCACTCAGAAGGCCAACCGACAGACTCTTTTTGTCAACGCCCTTTGCCGAAATCTACTGAGACAAGAGGCTTGCGGAGGCATCGCATGAGCGACCGAAATTCTCGGAAGGACAGCGTAGCGTCGTTGTTCAAGTCAGCCTTGCGCAGGCACAGCTGGATCGCAGCGTCAATGTTCACCTGATCTGCTGTTTTCTTGGTGGACCGGTAGTTTCCCTAAACAAGGGAACCCCAATATAGACACCCAAATACTATAATCCGCGCCCCGAAAAGGGTATCCCTAATTTGGGAAACCTCCAACTGTTGCGCCGCGGTCCAAAGGGTCCAGGTACCCAACAATTAGGTACTTGGGTTTTGGGTAATTGGTACAGGCTTTGGGGAAGTATTTGGTTATTAAGTACTTGGACCCTTAAGGTTCTCCAGTTGTCAGTACATGTTTTGACTAGATGACGGAAGTGGATTTGAACTCTAGCAAGCTGTGCATTCTTCTGATGATCCCCAACACTTGCCGCATTTGACAGTTTAAATCGACCTGAAACTAGGATGGTCTTATTTTTTGGTGGTTGAACCAGTTAAGCGTCTATCCTTCCTACAACACACCATAACCAACAGAAGGGTATAATCTTCCTCACTACTGGGGGCTAGCGGCTCCCGCAAGCCCTGAACCCCTAAGGGTCCAAGTACCTAACAATCATATACTTACCAAAAACTTATACTATAATTACTATTCCCCAAAACCCAAACAAATAATTATTGGGTACTTGGATGACCCTTAGGGAACCTTCAACATACTGCTTAATTGTCTTCTTGTCAGCCTAAGGGGCCAAGTTACAGCACAGTGGAGACTATACTTAAAGAGGGCAGCTTTACGGGCTCAAAGGGGCACTTGGAAAAGCAAATGAAAGGAGCCTGGATTCGAGCAGTGAAGGAAAAGGCGATGACATTTGAACCCTGAGCCTTGAAACCTGATGCGGAAAGCTTCGCCTAGAACCTCGGCAAAACCGTAACTATGTAAATCTTGAAGCCTATCTGGACCTTGGATGTCCTGCCTTTTTTGAGGACATACCGGATATGCCTTATGACTATGTAGGACAGGACCCAAAACAGGAAACGCATACAGCGTCTAGGCAAGCCCTACAGTTCCCAAAAACCCAACGACTACTACAAAAAGCCTTAATCTGCAACCTAAATTCTAAAGTCTCCCAAAATCCTGAAACCTAAGCCCGACCTCGAACCTTTGAAGCCTTACCCAAAGGGTCCATGTAGCTATATGGTTTTTACTTTGGCCTTAGAGTAGGTATATGGGAACCTCTTCGGGCCCTGAGTATATACCATATAGCCTACATGGGGCCTTTGGGTTATGCGCCATAGCCAGCGGACCTGCTTTCGGGCGTACGTTGCGCCGCCGGTAGAGGTACCTGTGACGGGGGCCACAGCGGCACGGACGATGTTGTGGAATTCCTCGCAGTCCAGCTCCTCAGGACGGACAGGGTGTAGGATTCAGAGTTATACCTTATCATAATGTAGTAGTGTCCATTTCCATTATCCTTATATGGCACCAATATATGCCCTTAACCCCAAGCAGTTTTGGATTATCCTTACGTAGCACAAATATATGCCCCAAACGCAAAACCATTGGAGTCAGGACTGGAGGCCCTTGGGTCAGGGCCAGATGGTAGACCCCGGTCTATGGTCTAAGAGGGTCCAAGTACCCAATAATTAGGTTCTTGGGATTTGGGTAATACTAATTATAGTACAGGTGTTGGGGAAGTATATGATCATTAGGTACTTGGACCCTTAGGGTATGGTGTCATAAACGAATCGAGGGCTTGGCACTGCAAGTAAGCTTCGGTGCAGCCTACGCACTTGACGAGGCACCCTATTAACCCTAAAGCAATTTCCCCAGACTTCTCGCAACATTCGGATGCCTCTGCAAAATCTTAGGGTGCAGGATCTGGAGTATTGGTCCTTCTACGGGCTTGCTCTTTGCAGCCTGCAGGAGCGTGCTTCAGTAAAGTGGTTTAGGTATGTCCCCTAGATTCTGGAACCACTGGTATCCGCAGGCAGTTTGGAGTAAGTGGGCATGAAAGTTGACTTGACTTAGTGGTGCTGAAGTGGAACGGGGTAACGCATGCAAGCTCTTTCTTAAGCAAATGTAGGCTGAAGACGCGGCCCTTTTTCTGTTGAACCTTGAAGCGTAGGGATAGCTGCCTTTTCTCAGTGATGTAGGACTTTGCCGGAAACAAACGGGGTAAAGGGCTATAAAAGAGATTCGATGGCATTTAATTACTTAGGAGTCTAAGGTAACCACGTGCACATCAAAACTTGCACAACATGTCATCCTTGCTGGTGATGAACCCATTCCGATCTCGATCGATTCTGTGCCTTAGCGGCCATCCGAAAATCTGAACACATGCGGCAGCTCTCAAAGCGAATGGCAGCAGAACGCAACCATAACGGTTCCGAAACTGAAGACTTCAATCAGCATTCATCCACGGATTTGAGCAACATCATGATGGCATCCTTTACCTGTGCTTGTCAACACAATGCAGGATACTCACGTGTCTTGTCAATACACTGTTTTGAACTGAAACGCCGCCACCGCCCACGCTGACGTGCAACAATGCATGTGGGCTCCGAGCGTAGAGACTTGGAGCACGTGCTGTTGTCCTAGGAGTTTTAAATATTTGGATTTGGGTTTGTCTTCGTTTTGTTCTGTGAGCGGTTAGCCTGAGCAATGTAAATTTCTGTTCCACACGGATTCCTGCTTGTAAGAATGAATTGTTTGCTGCGGTTCACGAATCCAATGCGATGTTGGCATGCCCCAAAAGAATGATATTGCAACACATCAATCTCGTTTTCCAGCGCTACTTCGCAGTAGCTTATATTTATTGCTCCACAAATAACTAGCTTTCTTTGGAGGCTGCAGCTGTAGAATCCCCTCAGTCTAGTGTTACGGGGATGTTGGCTGCAATCCTCCAAGTATTTCCAGGATGCCAAAGCCGCGAGGCCCACTCATCCAAGGACTCTTCCTCGCCAGCTAGGGCTCGATTTCGCAGGTGGGGGTCGGAAAACCTGGGCACAACTCCGAAGACAGCTGAGGGCTTAGGGCTGTCCATCTAGGAGGACAGGGTCTTGCGGAGTTCTTGGCTTTTGGGTCGTTCATGATTTGCATGATTTAGCTCAAGACTGAGCGTAGATCCGGAATTCATAGGGATGGCACGCATGGCAGGAAAATGGCTAGAACAGATCAGGTTCGAGGAAGTTTAGGTAAAGGCTCCCACAATCTCCCCAAGCATCCATGTTCCTGAACATTCCTGAAAGCCCGCAAAACCCAGGCGTGATGCTTTGAGAACGCAAGCTAGAGCACCTTGGCAAAATGTCTCTGCACCAGGCAGAAATACGCGAATGTAACATATCATGGCTCTACCCAGCAAAAACAAGCCAGGACAGTGTCTTCGTAGGTCATGCAGGAATTGAGAGATTTCGCATCCCCCCATACAAGGCAAACCCGAAAACAAACAAGCAGCAACAACAAAATATGCTGAAACAGCCAGGGGGCCTCCTCTCTCTTTGGCGAAACTTTTCTGCGAAGTCATCCATTCTTGAAAATAAAAGCCTGGACCTACAGTGTATGATAGCTGTTGTTGCCGCTTTTTTCTTAAAACGCCTACAACCTAGATGCTTGAAGTTAAGGTGCCTGGGCCGGAGCTTCTGGAGTTGCTTGCAGCTTAGACGTGCCACGGAGGTATGATGGATCGTACAGCTGACTCAGGGATGACAAATACACTGCAAGACATTTGGGTGGCCTTGCTCTCCCTAGGGATCCAAATAGCCCAATGTAGGTAATATTTACAGACTTTAGGGCCCAATGTAGGGATTATTTGTATACATGGATCCCTAGGGCTTCTGCTCAAACATCGCCTCAAGAGACCAGCTGTACAATTACGGCGAGCTAGATTCGGGGCTTCGTGTGTCTAAACACCTTTGGTTCAATAGCCATTAAAAGTTTCCGCAGTTCTTCGTGGCCTGAGCCAAAAAAACAGTCACGTCGTCTTGCTCTTGCTTAGTAGTCTCCAAAGTTCGTGGCTAAACAACCTGTGAATTGATAGTGCCTATACCCCGTTCTCTGCTACCCTAAAGTGCACTCCCCATTACCNNCCTCGCAATTGCACAAGAACTTTAGAAATTTCTTTTTGAGTGCCTGCCCAATCCCCAACCCAATACATTGTAGAGATACATGAAGAAGGCCTCAGCCCAGTCCAGCACGTGCATGCAAGGGGGGATGTATGTGGTGGGGTGTTGGAACTTTTGTCTGTACCGTTGAGATCTGAATTGTGCAGAGGGCCGCACGTTTGTCCCATACCGTCCTCAACTGCAAAAATCTTACCAGCCAACAATAAACCCCAAACCCTAAAGAAAATGAAAACTACTATTTA